AGCTTATATTAATACTTACAGAAGGTTTGGATATTCAAGCGCAACACTAAAGTTAAATTCAAAATTTACCATTAATTAATAAATTTTATGTTACATGTTGGCTAAATAGTAATATAAATTGTTTTATATTATTTAAAACTTATATAAGAATATCTCAAGCCCTAGATGTTAAAAATCAAACTAAAGTAGATGAAAAACAAGGTAAAATAAGAATTTTCCAATTTGTGCTGCTATTTATAATGACACAATAAAATCATATCTTATTATCAAAAACTAAGGTTTTAAAATTAAGTTTAAAATTTTGAATTTTACTGTCGGAAGCTAGGACAAATCGTCCCAGTTTATTATTAGGTTACTGGTATTAAAACTGTAAAAACCTGATATTAATAATATAAAAAATTGTCATTATAGTAATAAGGATAGAAACACGTAAAGTTTATTAAGATAGCTATGAATAAATATGTAATATAAATATTTTATTGATATTTTTTTTAAATAAAGGCCAAGTTGAAAATGATTGGAAGTACTCTGTAAATAAATGAATCGCCAGTTGGCTGAATGGAAAAGCCCAGTAATGGTTCGACCCTGCTCAAATCCTTTCGAACGAGTAGGCTGCAGACATATTTTCTAGTTTTTGCTCATATGTAATGTGAATGAATACAAGAAAATTTTTCTTAGAACGTCCTCCTCGCCTACCTTGCCGTAACCAAACCAAACCAATCGGAAATGTATGTAAATTGAACTTAAGTTTAAATTTTAAGGAGTTTTAAATTTGATGTGGCTATTAAATATTTAAAGGATATACAGAAAGGTCAGTACAGTAAAATCCTTCGTAATCAAGTTGATTAACAGTATCAAAATAACGGCAGCCGCCCAGACGGTACAGTGGTTAGAGAAGCCTACTGTGATACCGAAAGGCCCGTTTTAGAATCCCAGAGAAGACATGAATGTTTGTAAATGTATAGTGTTTGTGCAGCATGGAGGCACCCTAAATATGCGGCGAAACGAAAGTCTTTTCTCGAGTTTGCTGGTAGAAGAAGATTGTTGGGAAAGCCTTAGACCCGTCCTTCCGGGGTGCTCTTTAGCACTGAAGGCGGAACTGAGCGAAATCATTCAGTCACCCGGTATGGTGCTCAAGGCTCTTGCCAATCACAAGCGCAATCTTGCTCTCCTTGAGACAAATAAATTTCGTAGGCTTATAAAATGTTACTTACTGTCAGACAAGTGAGATAGGTCACACGCACAACACAAAAAACGGCGTTTTTGACAGCTTAATTTTAGATTCAAAATTTAGATCTATGAGATTTAAAAAAAAAAAAAAAAAAACATACAATCGGCTAAAAGATCTCAGAATTTAAACGCGGAGAACATTTGTATTCATTTGTACCTTTTCAAATATATCCACATAGTATATTTTATACTTAATTATATACTTTTTCATTTATCACCAATATAAATGCTACAATGACACAAAGATATATTTCAAAATTTCATTTCAGCCTTTTATGGAATTCTCAAAGAAGTAGTATTTGCAAGTTTTCTCCCCTGCGTTTCACTTGGCTACTCTTTATTTTTCTTTTGCAGTAATTATGTATGCATTTCTTTCAAAATTTACATCTTGCTCTTAGTGGTGTCACTGGGAATTCTGGGCTATCTGAAAGCAGAATCCATGTATTCACAGAAGAAGGAAGAGTTAGAAGATTGAATGCTAACTCATATTTTCTTTTTCAGAATATAATAAAGAATTCATTTTGAATGAGACTAAAGTGGTAGTAAACTTTTATTTGTTCAAAACTTGAAACATTATTTATGTTGCATTTTCTATCTTAAAGTATTAAGATAAAAATTATGGACGATAGAAAATAAAGAGAGCAAGAATATAACTTTTTGCACAAATATGAAACATGAGACTAGAATATCATGAAACTAAAATTTTACTTGTCGTTAATTTAAAATAATTCAGAGGATTTTGAGATTAAGCCACATGGTCACTCCTTTTCAGAAACAGAAGATTAATTTTCTGCTATTATTTTAATTTCAGGTAAATTTATGAGACTATAATTTAATGCAATGAAAACTAATACAGCGCAAAATCGGAATGTTTTCTTATTTAAAAAAAATGTTTCTACAGTTTAGAATTTTAACTAATTTTTTTAGACTACGGGAAAGGAGGTTATAATGGGGTTTTTCATATTCAGAGTTTGAATTGTAAAGCAACAAAAAACAAATGAATTCAAATTTGGCAAAATTTTATTATGTAATGAAAGTACAATCGATGATATTAATAAAGTCAAATATTGTCATTAAGATGGCTACCACGGCTGTACCTCGGATTGGCGAATTCTAGTCGTCCGTAATATTTTGACATATTTGGAGCTCCGCATTTCCTAGTTGTCTTAGTCGGCGCAGATGCGTGATTTTAAATAATAACAGAAAAAAGTATCTTCTTGCCAACCACTTCACATCGCCGTTTTGTAAAATTACAAGTCCATGGAACTTCCTTCGAATAACCATTTCGTTGAAAACGGTAGTTGTTTCAATTCTTACATAATTTGTACAGTTGTTTTGTTGTAAACATTTGTCATCGAGATCCGTATCAAGCGAACGGAGACGCAAAAATCGTTTATGGTCACTCTGTATCTCTGCTCACTTACGTTTAAATCTCAACCTTCAATTGTCTCAACATAACGAAACATGCTTTCAGCCTACAATTCGAAACAAACAGTCCTTTTTTCCATTTAGAAATAACTATTTGTTGCATTTAACTTGTTTGTTGTAGTTTTTTAAATTAAAATTACTGTTTGTTGCAATTTTAAGTGACTATTTGAATACCATCCACCAAAATCTTCGACAAAACTTTGACTAATCTTTGACACTAAAAGCCAACCATCTTTGGTGGATTGTATTCAACCCATGCATTTTCTCATTTAGTAATGTCCTTCAGTAGAAAATGTAATTCATCTCTCAAAATGATTTCTAGACCGAAATTTATGTTCAACTCCGAGCTGGGCTAAGGCCCAACCAGCAGACATTTGTTAATCAGGCAAGCAGCCTTTTGACCATTTGTAACGAAGGCTGGACATAAAACGATCTTTTGCCGAATTATGCACATCACAATTTTCATGTAAAGTGCATTGTATTCAAATTACAAAAGGTGAATTTTCGTAATATCACAAAATTATTTCAGTGCGTCATTGGACTCTGTATCTTTCAGTGATTAATTGCAAAAATTGCTGCGTATTTCTGTTAAATCAGATTTTAGAAAGTTCGTAGAGCTCTACGAAGAAAGCAATTTAAACTGCTGATATGGAAAATCCTACATTATCATTTGGGGGGATAATATCGTTATTTGAATACAGCATACCAATACCATTCCGCAATAACAATGAGTTTCAAAGGTCTCGGGAATATTAATGTACATTGCGCCAAAAAAAAGGGGGACAGTTGCATATCTTCCGTTCTATTGAACCGATTGACGAAATTCAACTTGCGTTTTTAGTGTTTCCAAAGCGCGACTTAGGATATGAATTAGATTTATACATAGCATATTGTTCTAACATAGTTATTTCGACACAAAATCTGACTTTTTCTGAAATGGCATGCCAATTTTTTTCCATATTTCGATTCCACGACTCAAGTTATGCCAAACTGTCAAGTTTCGTAAAAATCGCCCAAGAGTAGTTTTTAAAAAATTACCTTTCAAAATTTTAGCTCCTCCATGTTAATTGAATTTGGTATATATTTATTAATATCTCTTTTTTATTAAACTTATTTGATTCTTTCTTTAACATTTGAAATTTAGGTTCATTCCAAATAAAATTCAGCCATTTTTTATGATTTATTTTTTAAATTTGTATTTTTAAGTAAATTTTTATAATTTTTTCGAAAAGAAATTGTGAATTATAACGTACAAAATTTTTACCATCATCTTAAAGTAGATGTATTTCTAAGCATACCTGCAACAAATTAGAGTTTTTTATTCAAAATTCCCTAAGATATACTGAATCTACATATTGGCGCGTTTCGAAATTTGACATATTTGTTATAAGCAATAATAACGTCAGATGCGGGTTCCGCACTTTGTTAAAATTATTTGAAAAAGTATGAAACTTCCGCTCGTGTACAATGAGAAAAAGGAAACGTAAGTAAGTTGCTGTAAATTAAGAAGTTCGCCCAGTGAATTATTCTTGGCGCAAACTGAAAGAAATGCGCCAAGATAAATTTTTCAATTTTTCCGTAAATTTTTCACCAAATATTACAAAATTAAATAGTTAGGCATAATTTGCATCGTAGAATCAAAACATAGAAAACATTTGGTATGTTACTTCAGAAAAAATCCGATTTTATGTCAAAATACCTATGTTGGAACAGTGCTATATATAAATCTAATATATATCCTAAGTCGCGCTTTCGAGACATGAAAAACGCAATTTGAATTTCGTCAATCGACCCAGTAGAAATGGCGGTATAAAACTGCCTCCCCCCACCTTTTTAAGCCCGAAGGGCGTTAACATAGAAGGGCTATTAATTTCGTTTTGGCATTTAGCGTTGAAACCTTTAAATGTCGGTTCGCTTTTCAAATTGTTGCCACTAAATATTAGAGCCCTCCCTCATTCGTTTCATCTGATAATTTGTTTGTTTAAAAATCGTTTATTCCAATCTTGCGCAGGGAACAAAATAAACAAGATTTAAAATGACAGAAAACAAAAAGATACAGAAACTAAAGTTTAATATTATGCACTCATCCTTACTAGTACCTGCAAAATAATGAATCTAACTTTGAAAGAAACTGTGCAGTTTTAAATGCAATAAATATTTTCGAGTAACATTAAAACCTCAACTGTTGTTCCTTGAAATATCTCTTACTTTGTGCTGAAATAAAATTTAGAAGAAAATCTGCAGCTGCATTCTTTGGAATTTGATGACTAATGCCCTGCAATTGCTACAGAAACGATAAGAACAAAAATGTCATTCATTTCTCTCTGTAGTAATTACACAGACAAACATATGCGTGCCTGTTTAAGAAGTTTAAAATTTCTTTCGTGGATAAGTATCCGGGCATTTATCGAATTTGACTTAAATAAGGTAAGTAATGAATTCCTTTTTCCGTTAAAATTCAGGAATCGCAACTAACGTTTAATAATTGCACATGTATTTTTTAACTAAATGTTTTGTTTTTTTATGCACATATACAAAATGATGCACGTCTTAAACGTATACCATAGGAGTAATTCAGAAAAGAGGAGCATACCATAGGCAAATTTCAGGGTTAATGACCCGAAATTTTCCTTGAAACTTGGAAAGGTAAATGTTCAAATTACGCTGATCTGCATTTAAAAACTATATTTTCCCCTTAAACTTTTTTGGTTGTTTCTTACAGATTTTAGATTATTTAAAATAAATACAATGAATCGTCGGAACATGAATGCCTCACTTCATGAAAAATTCGGTTCAGAACAAATTATTTGAATAAAAAAGTCTCCGATGACTAATAGTACCCGAAATAACGAACACTCAAGTCAGTAACTGTAATTTTCAAAACTTTTTTGAGGTAAATTATTCCATATAACTAATATTCAGAGACTTCCGGAAAAATTCTGTGAATATTGCCCATTGTTTAATTCTCATTAGCGAAGCCTGGGAACCAGCAATTTATAAGACCATACATTCGTCCTGGAAAAAATAAAGGCTAGACTGGCTTCCACGCACACTTTGAGCGCTTAATGAAATTTATATCATATTCTTAACATCATTTCTGATCTTTTCGGCAATTTTTTTAAAAAAGCTTGATGTGTTCGTCTATTTGACGTTTATGATTTTAAAATTTATACATGTAAAATGCGCACTGGTTACAAAATTTTGAACGTTTCGCACATTAATAAACAAACTCTTCGAGCTTTTCAAAATAGGAATAATAAAAAAATATTGATTGCTCGATTTTATATTGTTACGTTGTTTTCTTCCTTCACGTTCGTACGGAGTTCGTAGATTTGGAGTGCATAACGACGACACTTGATGAAGTATGGAAACACGCTTTATTTAGCCAATATTAATCAGGACAGTCAGGTTTTACAGTCGTCGAAGATCTACTATACACTCGCTGGAACAATCAGCGACACAACCTTCAGGTTATCAGGCTATAACGGTGGAGACAGCTTCACTGCAAAGCAACAGAGTACAGCTCCCGACTCTGCTTAGTCGTTCTCGGAACTCCACTTATTCTCGAGACTCTCCAAGCTGCAACTCGCGATGCATTCGACGACACACAGAGCACAGCTTCCGACTCTTCGGTTCAGTCATTCCTGGAGCTCAACACACTTTCTCGACGATGCACTAACAGCGATACACTGTACTCTTTCGATGCACTCGACGACTCACTCGACAGTCGCTGCCGGCTGTCAACTCGATCGACTCCGCACGGGCTGACTAACTTAAGACTAACTATCTCTCACTAGACGAGGCACACTAACTCTCCTCGTACCAACATAGTTATATAGCTTTTGGCTTGTGTTCGAGAACATCGTGAGCTAAACCGGTAAGAATTCGTTCCAGAAGGTTCTCCGTCCATGGCATATCGCCAATTTTGTCGCCAAATGTGGCAACCCTGCCTTCCCTTGCCATTTTATGGCAACCCTAAAACTGCTTTGCGGAGAAGCTATCTTATCGCGCCTGGACATTTCGTAACAATATATTTTTTATAAATATGCTGCATTAGACATTGAGCAGAAGGGAAGTTCTGTTTTTCTCTTTTCGTCATCTAATTCTCTTTAGTTAATTGTGACATTATAAGTCCTATTCTTTCTCTACAAATATTTTCTTTATTTAATTGTATGATTCATATCCATGAATTCTAGTTATTAAATAAACCGGTTCAAACTGGCTTGCATATTTGTGCTCGTTGAACAACAGGGTTTAAGGGTTGAATAACTTTCAAAATTATTTACAATGAAATTTGGAGTATTATTAGCCCAAACATGACAACACTTTCGAAAGAGATATAAGTCTGAAAACCTGGAAATGGTGTTTTGCATTGAATAAGTATGAAGGACGTATCACTTTTCAAATTGTTGCCACCAAATATTATCGTCTTATTATATTAAATAATGAAGAATCTGCATGAACGTATATATATTTCTCCCATTGTGAAAAAGCAACTGTACCAACAGAAAAAAAAATTTCCAACAAATTTTAAATAACATAGCCCTCCTCCCGAATATGGGCGTTTGGTAGATCGAATTTTGAATTTCGAATTTGCTTTATTATCTATTTCATATTTTGTAAAACTTTAACGAAATTTGATTAACAAACTCAATGATTTCAAGGCGAACAGTACCAACAATGTACGGAAAGAAAACATTTTTATCTCCATTGCGCGAGACCGTCTATCAGAAATTCGAAAGGTATGCTGTTTTTAAATATTTTGCGATTTTGCTATTGAGTCGAGTTTTATGTGGCTGAAGCGCCAAGAACGTGCTATTTCATTAAAAAAAAGTAAACATATAAAAATGTTAATAAAAAAAAAGAATTTTGTAAAGCAATCTTAGTAAGAAAACCTGAAGTTTTTTTTTTTTTTTTTTTTTTTTTTCCTTTACGGCGGGCTCTAGATATTTTTAGGCTCTCGCCACTACTAGGGGGCTGGAAGCGGTGTTCATTTTATAATGCAGGCACCTAACAGGCACCATTGCCTCCTATGAAAAAACAGACAATTTACATTCACGCCCTCTACAAGATTCGAACCCGGGCCCTCTGGTACTGACACTATACTGTCTAGACTCCCCTAGACACTATACTGTCTGGGCGGTTAGAAAACTGAACCATTGGATATGGTTAACTGAGAAAAGACTGACAAAATCAGAAAAATGGGGATTAATACTTAGTGCTAGAACAGAAATTCTAAACGTATACTCTTATGCTGCTTTTAAAATTTTTTGTAATTTTGCTGTTGAATTGTACATGGTGTTAAGTGCAAAGAAAATGATGCTTAATAATGAAGCATAAAAAGGCGGGTAATAGGAACGAGTGTAACAGCAGATTGGTAGACTGAGAGCTCAGCGAGAACGTAAAAAGCCTTAACAAACCCTTTTGGGCTACCGCTAAAATCTGAACCCTTTCAGACTATGTTTATTTTTATTTTAAATTCCATAAATTTAAAAACATTTTGTCATCATTTCTTTTTCAAAGTTGATTTTTTAAATTTTATTATGCTATATACTATTACATTTTTTGTAACTTTGGAATTCCAACATCCAAAAAAAAATTATTTACAACAATTTGAAATTTCCAAAGGTTATGAAACAAATTCTTCGTGCTCCTTTAAAATAAGAATCATAAAACAATATTAAATATGCAACTTTCTAGAATTTATTTAAATAGCTGCAATTTTATAAGCTTTTATTTAACTACCTCATAGTGTTTGTCAATATGGTCAAAATTCTGCCTCAATTTTTAAGCTCCTGACAAGCTGCAGAACTTAGCTTTGGCCCTCACACTCATAGTGAACAGTATAACATGGTCAAGCAACATTTTTAAATTTTTAATTTACATTTTTATTAATTTAATATTAAAACAATTTTTCGCACATTCCTTTAATAAACAAACTAAAACGACCACAATTTTATTCTTTCTACTATCGGATAGAGTGGGAAAAAAGTCTTTTAAATGAAGTTTATATGAGAATTTTAATGCAATTTCTGAGTTATTGACAAAGCACTATATTTGTTAGACAGCGTTTTGTAATAGAACTATTGGAAGTAAAAGAGTATTTAGTTATTGTTGCAAAATGACTTTTCAATTAAATAATTAGATTGATAATTTATCATTGAGACTAAAAACGTAGACGTAAATCATATCAATAAAAGGTTTTAAAAAATATAAGCTTTCTATTTAAAACTTCTTAAAATAATTAAAGAATTGAAAAGAGAAAAATAATTTACCATACAAGGTAATGAGAACAATAGATTTAAATAAGATATTTACAGAATTTATTTGCAGTTTTATAACACGAATAATAAAAACGTCGGAGCCTAAATAATGCTTTGGTTAGGTTGATGTGATTAAGGCGCAGCACAATAGAGCTATCTGCCTAAGGGTAGGTATGGCTCGTATCCACAAGTGGGGAAAAAACCACGGAAGCACCTATGCAACCAACCCGTTCACTGGTACTCCGGCCCACCAGCGGCGAGCCGTAAAGTCGTTGAACACTCGTAGTTTAGTCTGAAGTTCGAATCTTACGAGTGGGCTGGTTACATGGGCAGTTTTGTGTTTTTCCCATGTGTAACGTGTCTACAAGCTCGTTTCTCTTATAAAGCCCTCCCCTTAGGCAGATATCCCTAAGGTGCTTTTTCCGTAATCTCAATAAACGAAACGTATAAACGAGATTGGAACCCGGGACCGAGATACCAGTTTCCCGCGAATTTACCGTGCGGCCGCTGATGGAGCTGCCTAAATAATGAAATCAGTTCATTTAATTGCATTGTCAACAAGGACATTCTTAAGCCCTATTGAAAGCTATAAAACGTACTTCTTTAATTTTGATCTGAAATCAAAGTCTATATTTGTTTTCAATCAGACTTAATTTAAACTATGTACGAAACTAAAATTCCTTTTTAACTATTTTTCAGGAATTGATACTACAGTCGTATAAGTAACGAAACGTCTCTCATTAAATAACAGAAATTCTTTTTTGATGGAAATGATAAAAAGCAAGTACATTATTACTCAACGGAATGTGCCAAACAAGTTGAGAATTATCAAAAACGCAGTTCTACTCTCTGTTAGCTTTGTATTTCTCTTTACTGCGTATAATGGCATCAGCGTGCTTCAGAGTACCATGAATCAAGAAGAACTCATTGGAATCACCTCACAAGCTATTATTTATGCTTGTTCTTGCATATCGTGTCTTTCGTTGCCAAAATATTTTATTAGAAAATGTGGAATTAAATTCATAATATTAATATGCATGTTTATGTACATGGCATACATTGCAGCAAACTTCTATCCTTACTGGATCACAATGATCCCTTCAGCTGTATTAGTAGGACTGAGTGGAGGCTTGCTTTGGTCTTCTTTCAGCACGTATTTTAATAAGTCTTCCTATTTATACAGTTTGTGTTTTTATGACACTGTACCAAAATTTACTGGGGAAACCTTCATCAGTACTTTTGATAATCTAAACCAGATAGCTACCATATCAGAAAGCATTAACTGTTCGAAATATGCTAATCTTGATGAAATTAGTGAATATAATTCAGGTACCGCAAATGATCTTGGAATAGAGCAACTGGGTGATAATCAGAAATCAAAAGTATTTGCTACAAAAGAATCTATGAATTGTAAATGCCCTTTGGTAAAAGCTTTATCAAGCAATACAGAAAGTATTCAGTCTGATATATCTAGCGCCAGATGTAACCTACCGAAACTTCTTGATGTTTCAGACCTCCCGGCTGACAAAAGACTGACATCTCGTCAGAAATTACCATCCGAAAACGAAGCCTATAATCACGGTGATAATAGAACTGAAAACATAACAAAAACCAACGTTTTGGAATCAATAACTTCTCGGTTTTTCGGTTTTCATGGACTATCATATCAGTCAACACATATTTGGGGCAATCTCGTATCATACTACGTATTGAAACCGAGAACAGATATTAGGAATGCCACCTCCAGTCCAATCTTCATGTGCGGTGCTTTTGTTTGCAACCTCGAATCAGATTCAATGATTAAAAATCTTGTAGAACCAAATAGCGAAACGAGGTATGTCATTACTGGCATATATGTGGTTCTTGTGTTTACTGCTATCTTTATTGTGCTGCTGTTTGTAGATCGTCTCGAAACCAGTAAGGAATCCGAACCATTCTCATTGTCAATGCTCATGGCAACATGTAGATTTCTAAAAACTAAAGAACATTTTTTCCTGATACCCATAGTTTTTTACATAGGAATAGAACAAGCGTTTTACATTGCGGATTACACAAAGGTAAGACTTGTATGAACATTAAATTTTGTCTAGTTTCAGAATTTTGAAATTTCTTTTGATTAATATATAACATATTTGTTTAAATTTTAGTGTTGATTTTTAGATTTTTGAAAGATTCTTGCTAAAGTAAATATATAGTAATAAGATGTTATAAAAACAGTATATATAGGAATAACAGTTCATAAATGATGGTTAAAAATCATTGTAAAATAGTATTATATTTGATGTAGCTGGAATCACATACAAGCGAGCTGCGTTATTATTAAATACTATTACATATGATGTAATTGGAAACATATCACATAATTGAAATATGTTAATACACAGGATTCCCATAAAAGTAATATATTTTTTCATAAAATATTCTCTAGCCAATTATGATAATCTGCAATGTTGTGCAAAAATTATAATTATCAAAATTTTTCTTGCTTGGCGATAAACAGATTGCGCTGAGAACTTCATATAACGCTTCAAACATCGAAAACAAAAGTGATTGCGCCATCTGCGATAAAATGTAATTTACGTATACAGGATAGTTCAATATAATGACTATCATTTGGCCTTCTGCCCGTTAGATATTTTTAATGATGATTTGATCTGCAAATGCAAAAGTGAAATGTTTCATTTCAGCTCCAGTTTTTCTTTATTTCTTAAATTCCTTTATTTCTTAAAAGGTCAAAGTAAGTTAAATATATCACAGTTTTCATCTGAATATAGTATGAACTTATATACCTCTTTTATAGTTACTGCATGACAGAACTTTTGAATAAATTCAAAATGGGCTCGGCTAAAGAATGTTTTAGTGGTTTTTCAGAAATTAATAATTATTTCAATTTTAGTTTAAAACGCATGACCCGTTTGTAGGTATATGCTCTCTTTCCAGAGGTAATGAGCGGATGTTCGTATTCTGTGTAACATTCTGTTACGCAAGTATTCTTTAAAGAGTACAGTAGTGTGCGAAATTTATATATGGATTGGTAAATTAAAATTCACAGGGACCATTAAATAAAATTAGATATGAAATTAAGATTTCCACATACAACATTAAGTACAGGATAGATTTTCCGGTGTAACATTATGCAACCAGTGATTCAGATTATTACAAATACCGCCAAGTGCTAACTAACACTGTGAGAAGATAAACAAGACTGACCGAGAAAAGATGAACATTCAAGAACCGAAAGATGAACATTCAAGAACCGAAAGATGAACATTCAAGAACCTCCATTTAAAAACAGATTCTATTATAGTACCACTGAAAACAGAAACATCTATGTTAAAAGCGGCAAAAAATTCCAGGCTTCAGCAAGAAATATAACCTCTGACTACGATGCAGAATATACACTGTCTGTTCCTGCTCAATGCGAGATCATCGATGAGATCTGAAGGCATCATAGCCGTCATAACGGCATTGACTAAATTCGAAATCGTAACTGCTATGTGGCGATGTGCTGCCGGTGATCTCGCATAATGCCCTACATGTGGTCATAAATGGCCTACATGTCATAAACGCTCTGCATGTGGTCGACTGGAATTATTTTGTCGGACTGTGTAGGATAAATGTTCTTCCCTTAGCTACGGTCGCACACTGTGTTTTTCACTTGAAAGTATTCTATAAATAACCATATTCCCGGTGAAAAATATCAAGAATTAAAATGAAATGTTATTGTATAATTATTTATAGCTTAAAACAAGCCAGCGTCCAGGCCAGTGCATCCAGTACGGCGACAAATTTTTTGGAATTTAGAGAAGCACAAGGCAGCAGAATTTACGACCAACAAAAACTGGACCAAGTGACAAAGTGCCTAGCCATAATTTAAAATGCTACATATATATTTTATGCTATTAGAAATTGCAAAGCATTTTTACACATAAAGATATGTGATAATGAGATATAATGTGGCGTCATCCTTTAAAAATAAATGCAATAATCTAATTTTAAAATTTCAATTTTAATTCTAAAATTAAATTACTATTACATTTAAGCAATTGTGATAAAAAAATAAAAATCTGATACATAATGATGATAAATCTGTACACCACGTGACTTTCATGTAACGGAATATTAAATTATAAGCATTTTTTCCTGTATTTCGTTTAAACTTATTACCTCGAATTTCATTTGAGATATACAAATGGAGGACAAAATAATACGAACACCTGTGAAATACTGGAAAATCTTTATTAATAGGGGGTTGGACCACCTTTTGGCTCAAGTGCAGATTGAATGCGACGTGGGATAGATGCATAAAGGTCATGGACAATATTTAAAGGAATATTAAGCCATTCCTCCTGCAGAGCGGTCTCTAATTCCGAAAGTCCGGATAGAGGTGGAAATCGGGAACGAAGTTTGGACTCCAAATATGCCCATAAATGTGCAATGATATTGAAGTCCGGAGACTGAGAGGATTCAAGCGAGATGTTCAATTGCATCGTCATGCTCTTCGAACCATTCTTGAGTACACCTAGCAGTGTGGATAGGGGCGTTGTTGTCTTCAAAAAATGGTCGTTCCCCAGGGAATACAGTGTGGACAAAAGGATGGACATGATCCCTTAGAATGCTTAGATAGTGATTGGACGTGTTCATCCCATGCAGAATAACAAGTGGCCCAAGACCGCGCCAAGATATCGCACCCCACACCATAATGGCGTCCCCCCCATGCTTCTCAGTCGAAAAGAGGCAGTCAGAATGAAAGCGTTCTCCAGACATAAACGCGTCCGTTCGTCTGAATGACGATTCAACTGACCATATTACCTCTTGCCACTGCTGTGGGGGGGAGCAGCCTTTGTGATCTCTACACCATTGGCGTCGCTTGAAAGCATTAGTTGCTGTCACCAAGGGTTTACGAATTGCCACTCTGCCATAAATGTTCGCAGCATGAAGTTCCCTTTCGACAGTGTTTGTTGAAACGGGCTGCTGGAGATGACTGTTCATTTCGGATTTGTTATCTCGGATAACGATTGTGGTTTCAGGCTACTATGCGCTTCAAGACCCGTCTATCCCTGACATTTTAACTTAAAACATGATCGAAGCATGCAACGCAGGTGATTGCTGTTGAGAGACTGATACCTTCCTCTTCACGCTCACTAGGTGGCAGACTTCTGTTGCAAGTGGCGCGGCTGTACTGCAGGTGTGAAATACGTCATACTTTTTCACAAGTGTTCCCATTATTTTTTCCTTCATCTGTATTTCTCATTCAATTAATTCAGTTCTGACTTCGCGAAAAGGCAAAAATACATGAAACCTCAAAATATCTTTAAAAAAATTTTAAAATATAAAACATGAATACAGTTAAAACAATTTAAAGATTAATTTTTACAATTAAAATGAGAGTTTCTACTCAAAAACAAGCAATTCGGACAGCCTGCAAGAAGGAAGATTTTTCGGTGCACAAAACTGAAAGTTTACTTTTGGTCTTACTCGGCAAAAAGACACTATAGGCGCAGAAACTGATTTAATTTTTTGTCGACGCTATGCCGAGTCAATATATAGGTAATAAATGATAATTCCAGAATGAATAAAATAGGATTTAATTCGCAATAATAACAGAAGATGTCATATTTGTTGATGCGAAGCTTAGTTTCTCTAGATTAGCAACAAGTCCACTATTCTGCTAAGTTTCAAATGTAAAAAAATATGGCTGCTATGTTAAAAATAATTAGGCTTAGCTGCAATTAAACACTTTTAAATTGTTGATAATATATTGCATTCAAAAATTTAATAAAGGCATAAAAACCTTAACCGGAAGATAAGAACAACATAATTTAATCACTTTTAAAGCAAAAAATGCACAATTTACTACCATATAAGAATAAGAAAACTGAGCTCAATGAGCCTAGTAACAGAATGTGTATGTGTATACATTTATTTACATACTTTGGGTGCAACCAATTGCCACCAAAAAGGGAGGTACACAACTACATGCTATAGCAATCCTATATACAAATCGTCAATGTTCTGAGGCTAGTCGTTTTTGAGTTATGCGAAGTACATACATACATACGTACGTACAGGTGGGCCATGAAAAAAATCTCTTCTGAATCCATTTTAAATCAGCTTTTTAATTCGTTTGGGGAAAAAGATTCCTTTATTCTTTCCTTACGTGCAGATGTCACGCAAAAACATCGTTAAATTGCATTTGATAGTTGTCAAAATGGATATTTTGGTTGAAATATGGTACCAGAAATTTTTCGTGATTACAATACTTCCTTTACTCCGTACAAGTAAAAATAAGTGAAATAATATACAAATTTATTACTTCAGCAGTGGTTTAATTGTAGTCTAGGAGGTGGAAAATGTAATATAGCTTTATTAATGATACATAACTGAAGGAGGAAAACTATAAAATATGTAAAACACATGAGAATAACTGCATCTTGCGTTTTCAAAATGTATTAACATTTAATAGTTGTTAATTGAAAATAGTATAGCTGGAAAACAAAAGCTTGGGCTTTGCCACCACAAATAAAGAGATTTCCTGTGCTTATGCAGCAAATTTTCATTACATAAACTAAATGATTAAATATAATTAATAATTTACAATAGGATATTTCACATTTTTTTAATTTATCAATGACTCAAATTAATGAATTCTATAAATGAAATTAGTAATTAGATTTCTGAATGTAGAGATACAGTTATTAAAATTCTAAAATGGTTGTTTAGTGAAATTATTTTTGTGAAATTCTTGTACATATTTGAGCAGTCAGTATATCACAAATTTGAGTAGAGAATTTGTTATGCTTAATATGAAATTGCGAGTAATCATTATTCGTAGATTAAAATTTTAACCAAACTACTTAAAGTTTGAAAGAGGGATTTGTGTGATTTGTTTTACTACAGTTATCCAAAGCGCACGATAAAAAATAAATAAAAATAAAATATACCTATCTAAAAGAATATCATGGTCATTGCCGTCCAGATATAAATTATCCAAAATATTATTTGCGGGTAATTTGTGTGACATCCGTTATAGTTTTATACTGACCCTGCATGTCTCTATTAAGAAAGTTTAAGAATTTATTTTAACTCAAAAGAAATATCATTTCAAAGTAAAAAATATATCATCAAAACCAAGCAGACAAACAGCTAATTTGTTATTATAAAAGAAATATTTTACTCGGTTGATCTCTAATATATAAAACAGAAATTCGGATTCCTGCTTGTGCAGCATATACGCGTGTGAGTTTTAAGGAATTAATTTTTAATTTTTCTTTCGTTATGAAATGTGTTATTTCTATTTTACTAAACTCAGTTCGTTATAAAGGAATGCTAAAAGACACTTTGAGAGTTTTATAATGGTTTTAATCTGAAAAAAATGCTTCTGGGATATTTAGGAGAGGTATTCAGAAAGCAACCAGGCTGATGATACAACGGCATTCGAGTCAAAGGAAAATACTTCCAAAAAACAGCGTAACTGTTTATACTGCATTATAATTCTGGCCCTACTAAATGTAATCTTGTTTCTTTATGAACAACTTATGTATGCAGATATCGCCTGGTAGATAGGTATTCATTTTAAAAATAGAGATTTAGAAAGAGCGTAGATTAAATTTACCAGAAAATAATATTCAATGATAAGGAATTGGACAAGCTGGGTTGCCCTAGCCAAATAATGTGGATAACTTTTGTAATGATAAAATGTGTATACGAAGGAGACAAAACAAAGTGCGAAGCCTCTTAATAAATGAGTAGAAATTAATAATATTTATTTGAGATAGAAAACAATCAAAAGATTACTTTTTCTTTTAAAATATTGTAAATGCTTGAATGTGCATTCTGAAAGAATGCTGTGTCTGCTTGAGTTGAAGCTTACAAAAGTTTTATTTCCAGTCATATATTAGTTGCGCTACTGGGGCCCACAACATTGGGCTGGTGACAGTTTGTTATGGATGTGCATCTACTTTTTCTTCATCACTTTCTGGCTGGCTTGTGAAGCATGCTGGGAGGATACCCGTCATACTCATGGCAGCTATTGTCAATTTTGCAGCAAACATTCTTCTTCTTCTATGGCATCCCAGCGCATTACATCCTGAAATCTTCTTTATTGTAGCTGCAATGTGGGGAACTATGACTGGGATTTTGTGGTCTCAAATGCATGGTAAGTGTCAAGGAAGATATATCCCAACTTTACGTACTTGATAAATTTCAATAAAAAAGTATATAATAACGTAAATATATCGATATCGTTAACTCCAACCAGAACCTTAATTGTTAAATCAAATCTCAATGAAGCCATCATTTTATCGAGGGCTTTTCACTACCAGCTGAGACTAAATTAGAATGAACTTAAAGTTTAGCAAATAACTAAAATGTACTTTAACTTGATACCGTTATAAATTAAACAGAGAAATGTAATTTAAACAAAGGTCTGAACTTAAATTTAAGTAATGTTGTGGCCAACAGAAATCAAATTAAATGCTTCATTTGGTGGGATTTTCTGTAAAGATGAACTCTCAGTCTTGCTCTCCTTCCCACGATGAATTTTATGGACTTGTTACTGTCAGACAAGTGAGATAAGTCACACGCGCAACACAAATAACGTAATTGTTCACGGCTTAAATTTGGATCCGAAATTTAAATCTATGAAATAAAAAGCATGTAATCGGCTAAAGATCTGAAGATTTAAACGCGGAATATATTTGTATTCATTTGTACCACTTCAATTATATTCATATAATATATTTTATTCTCAAATCTATGCTTTTTAAGCTATCACCACTATAAATGCTACAATGACAAAAAGATATATTTTAATGTTTCATTTCAGCCTTTTATGGAATTCTCTTTAAGAAAGAAGAAGAAGCAGCATTTGCAAGTTTTCTCCTCTGCGTTTCACTTGGCTACTCTTTATTTTTCTTTTTCAGTAATTATGTATGCATTTCTTTCAAAATTTACATCTTGCTGTCAGTGTCTTCACTGGGAGTTCTGGGCTATCTGAAAGCAGAATCCATGTATTCACAGAAGAAGGAAGAATTAGAAGATTGAATGCTATCTCATAAATATTTTTTTAGAATATCATAAAGAATTCATTTTGAATAAGACTAAAGTGGTAGTAAACTTTTGCTTGTTCAAAACTTGAAAATAAAGCATTATTTATGTGACATTTTCTACCTTAAAGTATTAATATAAAAATTATGGAGGTTAGAAAATAAAGAGAACTAGAATATAAATTTTTGCCCAAATATGAAACATGAGACTAGAATATCATAAAACTAAAATTTTACTTGCCGTTAATTCAAAATTAAAAAATTAGAAGATTTTGAGATATAAGCCACAAGGTCACTCTTTTTCAGGAACAGAAGATTAATTTTCTGTTGTTATTTGAATTTCAGGTAAATTTATGACACTATAATTTAAGGCAAGAAAAACTAATGTAACGCATAATGGTAGTGTTTTCTTATTTTAAAATATTTTTTCTACATTTTATAATGTTAACTATTTTTAGACTACGGGAATTGAGGTTATAATGGGGTTTTCATATTCAGAGTCTGAATTTTAAAGCAATAAAAAATAATCACAAAGAAAAAAGTATCTATAACAGGCGTTAAACACACGATCTTGTCACCCACCTCACATCGCCGTTTGGTAAAATTACAAGTCCATGGAACTTCCATTAAACAGCCATTTTATTAAAAACAGCAGTTGTTTCATTACTTATATAGTTTGCACAGCACTTTTGTTGTAAGCACTTGTTGTCGAGACACGCATCAAGCAAATGAAAATACAAAAATCGTTTATCGTCGCTCTGTATCTCTGTTCAGTTAAGTTTGAATCTCGGCCTTCAACTCTCTCAGAAAACATAATGGAACATGCTTTCAGCATACAATTTGCAACAAACAGTCTTTTTCCCAATTAGAAATAACTGTTTGTTGCGTTTAACTTGTTCTTTGTGTTTTCTTAATTAAAAATTACTTTTTGTTGCAATTTAAAATGACTAGTATTTGTATACCATCCACCAAAATCTTTGACAAAACTTTCTTTGGCACCAAACTCCATCAACCTTTGATGTATTGTATTCAACTCACGTATGGCAATTTTCTCATTTAGTAAAGTCGTTCAGTAGAAAATGTAATTCTCCTCTCAAATGATTTTTAGAATGAAATTTAAGTTCAACTCCGAGCTGGGCTAAGGCCCAACCAGCAAACATTTGTTAGTCAGGCACGCAGCCTTTTGACTCAAATTTTATAACGAAGCAGGAGATTGAACGATCGTTTGCCGATTATGCACATCAGAATTTTTACGTAAAGTGCATTGCATTCAAATTACAAAACGTGAATTTTCGTAATATCACAAAATTATTTCAGGTCGTCATTGGACTCTGTATCTTTCCGTGACTAATCGCAAAAATTGCTTCATATTTCTGTTACATCAGATTTTAAAAAGTTCATAGCGTTCTACGAAGACAGCAATTTAAAATGCTGATATGGAAAATAGAAAATCCTGTATTATCATTTGGGGAAGAGAATAACATCGTCATTTGAATACAGCACATCATTTTGCAATGAAAATGAGTTTCAGACATCTCTGGAATTTTAATGTATAACCAGAATCGTAATAGAAAGAAAAATGTTTAAAATTTTTCACATTTCTTACAAATTTTTCATTTGCCGTCGCTTAGCGGTATAGTCAATATTTCTTTGCAATCTAACTAGATCTCATTTACTTCAAATTTTAAGAGACAGGTGCAAAAAATGTGTTGTTTTAATTCCATTTTAAAACATAAAAATAAAGGTAGAACTTATAATATATGGTAGCATTAAACTCTGTGATGCGAGCGGTTAAAGACGAGATCAGCTAACGGCAGCTGCATGGTATACAGAAGCGTTTTTCAAACTATGGTCTGTAGCCAGAAGTCATCCTCGAAGCCTACCTACACTTATAATCCTCCTAGATTTTCAAAAATGACAAAAAATTCAAATTAACTGCATATACCGCATTATTGCTGAAATTTTCAGAATTTGAAAATTACACATGCCAATCATCTATTATTTTTTTCTTTCATGATTGCCATTTTATAAAATTAATGACATTTTATGAAACCAGTTAACCCAATCTGCGGATTTGTCACTCTAATTTCAGGAACAAAGGAGGGATTTAAAGTATTATGACTGTAGGTCTTCTTAGTAGTATAAATCCAAACACAGCAACAGTCGGCAGGCTCATCCGTTTCATTAATGTTAGTATCAACATATATTTAATTTTTAGTTAATAAAATAATTATTTTCTAAACTCTATTAGTCTTCAATGATAAAAAAACAAACGTAATTTTAATGAACTGTATTTTAAAAATCAAAGTACATTTGTGATAACATATGCTAAAAATTGCTTTGGAAAGCGATAGAAATAAGATGATCTGCAGAACGTTCTAATTTATGAGAATGACCCAGATTTGAAAAAAAAAAAAAAAAAAAGATTAAGAGAAACTATTAATATGTGTAAAACTTCTCTCTGGAATAAACACTGACAAACCTTTTAAAGTAAGACATATCCTCATGTAATTATTCTAAGATTAATGTCAGAGCGAGAATGAGTAGACTCAGGTACACTCTGCACAAAAAAGGGGGGTAGTTCTATACCTCCCGTTCTACTGGACCGCTTGCGTATTTCATGTCTCGAAAATGCAACTTAGGATAAACTACATTTTATTTAAAGTACATAGCATTGTTCTAACATAAGTATTTTGACACCAAATCAGACTTTTCTGAAATACATACTGATTTATTTCGATTCTACAACTCAAATTATGCCTAATTATTTAATTTTGTAAAATTTGAAAATTCAAATACTCGAGGAGTTTTTTCAGGTTACGCCAAGAATAAGTCACTTAGCGAAATTCTTAATTTATGGTAACTTATGTTCTTTTCCTTTTCATGGTGCATGAGCGGAAATAAAAGTGTATCGTTTATTCCTTCAAATAATTTTAAAAAATTGCGTAAACCACATCTGGTGTTATCTTCGCTTATAATAAATAATGAAAAATTTCAAAACCCACCAATATATAAATTAACATATATCTTGAGAAATTTTGAATATGATCTCTTAATGTTTGAAGGTATGTCTAGAAATCTTGAGGTGATGGTAAAACTTTTATAGGTTACAGTTCAAAGCATTTTTGTAAAAATTTGTAAAAGTTACTAAAAATTCCAGATTTGAAATCAAAAGACATCTGCAAATTGCATTTGAATTAAACCTAAATTTCGAACTCTGAAAAAAGTAACCAAGTAAGTTTAATGAAAAAAAAGAGGGATTAATACATGTATGTCAATTTAAATTAACATTGAGGAGCTCAAATTCAATTTTTTAAAAACTATTAATACGATTTTTACAAAACTTTGCTCTTTGTCATAACGTTAGTCGTAGAATCGAAATTAGGAAAAAATATCAGTATGTCATTTCAGATAAAGTCGATTCTGTGTCAAAATAGCTATACATAAAAATGGAGCAATGCTATACATAAAAATCTAATGTAAATCTTAAGTTCCGTTTCCGAGACATGAAAAAGTTAAATTTCGTCAATTAGGCTCGTTAGAAGGGAAAAGTAGAAATGTCTTTCTTTTTAGCCAAGAGGCCGTTTGCCCGTACGCATATTTCACAAGTGCACATCTGTGTAGCCACCCAAGGAGTGGCTTCTAGGATGGACCAATGAGCATCCAGTAATATTTCTGCCATGTCACATGACCTTCCGCGTGCTTTAAGATTTAAGCAAGATGGTTGAAAATATTCTGCCACGCAATTTTCTGTACAAAATAATTAAAGCATCGTCGATTGCTTCTGAAACTTTCCATTGCGAAGTTAGATCAAATACAGGAAATTATGAAGATTTCACTACCTGGTTGAAATAAATACAAACACATGGTGGATACTTCGCAAAAATATCGATGTGAAATATTACTTAATAAGTGGTAAATAAGACGAAAAAAGAAATATGTGATAAACATCTGAGCCCAAATGCAATCTGTACATAAAACTATGTATATGAGAAAAATATTTACAATACCAATTATATATGTAAATAGAAGTCAGCACTTTTTATTGCAGTCTATATGAAAAAGATGTTCTATAATAATAACCAATGCAGAATTTTATTCAAAGTGAACTTTACTAATTTGCATTCGTATACATTTAGTCCGTTAAATTTCACATTTAATAAATGCTCACTTTTAAATGTACTGTTTACACAAGAACATTTCATCCAACAGAGTGAATTTATCGTATTAACAACGAGTATATTCAATTTATTCACATATAATTTTGAATGTTAACAATGGATATAATCAGATTATATATGTTCTGAATCTTACACTTTAAAAATTAAAAGAATGCACGCACTGAAATAAAAAAAAACACTAGATTCATTGTAACACTTTCAGTCATTCTCAGCTCAATTAAAAAAATATACACTTATTCTCTTAATCCACATAATATGCCGTGAACATCAATCCTAATATTAATGCGTGATAAAAGATCGCGAAAGCGAAATGTCAGCGATTAATCAAACTCAGAAAACAAAAGCACATCGAGATTTTCTACTATTTCGCCATATATTTATAACTGCGAAACAAATGCAAATTAAAACGTAAGCAATATACACTCACATGCACGAAGATTTAGCGTCACAAGAGCAATAGGAGCTCATTGGTCCATTTTCGAAACCCCTCCCGCAAGGGCTACACTGATATGCACTTGTGAAATATGCTGCCCGTACGGGCTATTAATTTCGTTTCGGCATTTTGCGTCGAAAATTTTAATTGTCCGTTTCACTTTTCAAATTGTTGCCACCAAATACTATCGCCCTGTGTTATATTAAAAGGAATTAAATAATGAAGAATCTGCATAAAGGTATGTATGTTTCTAGCATTGCGATAAAACAATGATATCTAAAGCCATCAAAATTTGAATAACATACGTCTCAACCCGAATACGGGCATCTGGAACCTCAAATTTGGAATTATTTATTTTATTTAAATTTGGAATTACTCTTTTTTATTATCCATTTCATGTTTTGTAAAGCATTTATGAATTTTTGATTAAGAAACTCAACGATTTCAAAGCGAGCAAAAGCAACACTGTACGAAAAGCATTTTTTTTTTATTCTTTACTAAATTTTAAATCGAAATATTTCAGTTCCTTTTTTTAAGATGTCCGCTTATATTCGGAACAGATTTTTTCAGAAAAGTTTCTATTAAAACCATCTTTATTTCTCATATGTAAATTCTGAAACTAAAACTTAAGTTTCTAAAAATACAACTATATATATCATACATTTTTCTATAAAATGACAATTCAAAAACTGATATAATATTTTATAACTGACAATACTGAATAAAAATATTAACAATAACGAATTGTTTATAATTGACAATACCGTCAATAAGTAAAATTTGACTCAAATTTTTAACGTTTCATACAGAATTCTATTGGAGTAGTATTAATTTATTACGAAAGCAGAATCTTCATAACAATCCTGACTGAATTTCGTTTCTTTAATTTCATAATTTCCTTGATCGTGTGTGACTAAAATAACATTGTGGCAATTTTATATCAAATTACCAAAGGGAAATTTAAATAAATTGAATTTTAATCATTTTTGCAAACGGTTGCAAGTTCTCTCACAGCAGAAGAGCTTCAAAGTGCAAAA